CTATGAGGTCTCAGTCGTCCCCCGCTGAGTGGGGGGCCCTCTGGAGCATTTGCAACGTTCCTTTCTGCCTCTGCTCCCTCCCTGCCGATTCCTTCTGGCTGCAGGAGGTGCCCTCTAAGGACATGCCTCTCCTGCTGAGGGCACCGCAGCCGCCTCTCCATCTGCAGAGAGCCTGGCACCTACGGGCACCCCCTCCCTTGCATTGCACTGCGGCTCCTGCTCCTGTACCCCAACCTCTGTGCCTCTGTGGTCCCTGGTCTCCCTCCTTCTCAGACAGTCTAGTTCGATCCTGCCTCTCTCCTTTGAAGTTCCCAACTCAGGCGGGTTTCTGTTTTGTAAAATCTCCTCTCTATGTTGACCTGTTCTGTATACGAATAAACATTCTTAGCCAGCCTAAAATGGAAGCGGAGGGGAAGTTGAAGGGTCCTGTGCCAGCAGGTGGAGCTTGAGGCTGGGGCCAGTTGGTGCCAAGGGCCGGCCTGTCCTTTCCTCGTCCTTCCTGAGCAGCATTTCAGACTCTTCTGCCCTTGAGGAATCCCTTCCAGGCTACCTGGGAAAGGAGCAGCTGGAATTCCGGAATTCCTTGCAATGCTTGTAACTCATCTGCAATAATCAAAGAGTTCCTCTTGGCTTCTGGTCTGCTTTAATCGGCATGAGACCCTCCCAAGAATTTGAGCCCCCAGAAGGTCTTTTGACATGTTTCCCTGAAGGAGGTAATTAAAAGCAAACTGCAGCTTTCCCTCCCCCCCCCCAATGTTATAATCCACCCACCCACCCTGTGGTCTCACCTACTGAGCTTCCTGGGGAACCTCGAAAAGTGGGTGCAATGGCACATCTACCAAGAGGGAAATTGAGGCAAGGGGTCTGGGAACAAGTCGTGGCCTTCCTGAGCTACTGATGTGTCTTCTTTGGGCTGAGAGTCAGCCCTTTTCTCTGAACTGGATGCGGCTGCGTGGAAAGGAGCCCAGGCCACTGGGCAGCAGAAGGGGCCCCACTCCCAGGGACCCCCAGGCAGATGAAGAGCCTTGCAGAGAGCTGTGCCAGCCCTGGGGAGGATGGTGGCTGCCTTTCCCTGGGAAAGAAGGGGGTCCCACTTGGGGGGAGTCAGTGGGCATTCACAGGAATGAGGGTGAAGGTTCCTTCTCCAAGCTTGTGGGTTGGTTTCCAAATGTCTCGTTACCAGGCTAGATAACGTGGTAATGAGACGTATGGAAAGCAGCCCACAAGCTTCACCCTCATCCTACACACGAGCTACAGATATTCACCACTATTGCAATTCACAGGACTGCCCCTCTTCTGCCCATCGGCCCAGCCTCCCTAGCCCCAGATGGGGATCGCCCTATGCCTCCCCTCTGTATCTATTACTTCATGCTTTGACCCCAAAGAGCAAAATTATAGGCTCTTTCCTTAAAGGGGGCTGTGGTCAAAGGTCACAGGGCTCAGCAGCTGCCCCTTGCACTGCCTGGACCGGTTTTATCCCCTGAGGCACCCGAGGCGGGCAAACGTGCTAAAGGGCAGGAATGTCCCTGGTGAGGCCTCTGAAGGCAAATTTTCCAGCCATCCCTTGCAAGGTCTCAGGATGTGTGGGAGGGCCAAGGACGGCCGCTTTGCCCTATTCTGCCTGGGCCCCCTGCCGTCACCCGAGAGGAGTGGGCTGCTCCCTTGCAGGCTGCCGGGGCTTCCTCTGTTGGTCAACGCCTGCTCAGACCTTGACACAGAGGAGTTTCTTCACCAGACCCTGAAGGGGCTGCAGGGTCTCAGGGGCCAAAGCAGCTGCTGTGCCAGGGATGGGCCACCCAGCCTCCTCCCGCCTGGTCCCAGGAAGCAGGAGGGCAGCTGAAGGAGGAGGAAGGCCATTGGGGGAAAGAGAAGCGGCCGGCCTGACTATCCTCTCTGCTTCCCTCACCTGGCCCTGCCCACCTGGAGAAACCAAGGGCTGCCATCGGAAGCCCCGCCCCCTTGTCCTAGGCAGGACAGAGGGGGGCATCCAAACACACCGTCAGCAGCAGCGCTGGGGGTGTGAGAGACAACCCTTGTGCAGCAGGCGCAAAGAACTGCCCGCTCAGGCCTTTGGCCAGTCCAGCGGTCGGGGGAGGGCAGGAACAGCAGAAACTTTGGATCACCTTCAGTCAATTCCCACCTGGGAGAACAGCCCAGGAGCAGCCGTGTGCTTGAGGACATCTGGAGGGTTTCCTGGCATTTTCCCCTTGGCTCATCACCTGCACACATCGCTTGCGGAGGGCAGAGGGGCAGAGAGGAGTGCAGGGGCATTGCCCGCCCATGGCTGGTGCATCTCTTGGCTTCTTTCATTCCCCCTTCTAAGCAGGGGCTTTTTAGCCTGTCCTTTGCCTTCACGGATTGAGACCTCAAATGCAATTGGCCACAGCCCCTAAACCTACAAGGTTTAGTGATGCTTTCCCCCCCTCCCCGGATTGCTGGGCTGCTGTTCTCGCAGTTGACCCAAAGCTCAGTCAATGAGTTTTCCTTGCCCTGCATGCTCACAGACCCTGAATCACAGCCTTTGGGGTCTCCTGCCCTCAAAACAGGAGAGGCATCTCCTTCCCCATCAATGCACGCATGTGGGGGGGGGCAGATTCCCTCCTGGGGGTAGTATGCACCCATTCTTGCATTCCAGAGGGCAGCTCCAAGATGTCCTTCCTTGCCTGGAACCGTGGGAGGTTCTGGGGGCCTCTGGTGCAAGTCCTCCTCCAACCCTCCTCACCCTTCTGTGGTCAGCCAAGGTGGGCGAGATGCCACCACCTGCTCGTCTTTTGCTGCTCTTCAGCATCAATCACACCCAGCTCACATCTCTCTGGCTGGGCTGTGCAGATGGTGGACATGGAAGCCCAGTGGACATAGCAGACTTGGACCATGGAATGCGCAGAATGGGCAGAAATGCGCAATAGGCAGACTCCTGCCTCGCTTGGAAGGGACCTGGGGTGTTGCACAACCTGGATGATGAGGTGGGCGTTGCATTTCTTTCCGGATCCTATATTAGGTCCCCGGAGAGTCAGGCTGACACTCTCTCCACAGCAGCACCTGGCAAGTGCTGGAGCTGCCCGTCCCCATGGATCTCCTGGAAGCAGGGACCCTCTTCCTGGCCCTCTCCCTGGCCGGCCTCCTGCTCCTCTCCTCTTGGCAGCAAATGCGCCGAAGGGGCAAGATGCCCCCTGGACCCACGCCCCTCCCCCTGATTGGGAACCTGCTCTGGATAGACCGAAACAACCTGCCCAATTCTCTCATCAAGGTAAGCCCTCCCCCACCTCCGCCCCCTGCACCCCACCCTGCCCTGCCCTTCCGCCTGCTCCTTCCTGCCTTCCCCACAACCAGCTCAAGTGGCCCTTGCTGGCTTTGGACTGCCAGCATCGAAGGCCAGCTGGCTGAGGCAGCCCAGGACCCCAAAGCTTGAGTGGGACTCTCCCTGTCCCCCTAGGATGGAAGAAGAGGAATTGGGTTGCTTGGGTGGTTGATCAGGGGCCATGAAGCCCTTGTCGACTCCTAGTTGCCCAGCAGGCAGGTATTCCCCAGGGAGAGCAGCCCAGCTTTAAATAAAGAGAGAGATAGCAGTCCAGGAAGAGAAGACCCTGTATATTTTAAAGCTTAATTTTAATAAAAATAAACCTTCCATAATTGCTACAGCCCTCATCTTTCCTTTTCTGTTGGATTCCTTTTCAGGAACCAGGCAGGTAGGAAATTGGGAGCACTGGGGAGCAGAATTTGGGGGAACAGGAGTGTAAAAGGAGCTCCTGAGGC